GTAATTTCGATGACCCGTTTGAACTATACAATTTTAAAATGTTGAAAAAATTATAAATTTTAAAACGTTACTTTTTTATTTTTATTATTATCAAAGCTAAAACAAATTAAGACTTTAAGGTAGTCTAATACACTATTGTTTTTAAAAAAAATTATAGCGAAATTTTTATTGTATCAATAGTTATAGGAGTTGTCAGTTAATTCCACTTTGTAGAGAGTGTTTGATAAGTTAAAACTGTGTAATTATTTCGTACAGTATTTAAAAGTTAGAAATCTTCCAAATTATATAAGAATATATTACAGTTCTTACAAAAAAAATTACCAGTTTTTATTATGCTTAAAAAATTGAAACTTTTAAATGTATGCTTAAACAAAGAAATAGACTTAAGAGTTTTGTTATAATACATTTACACAATTAGATCCAAAAAGTATTACATGAATTAATATTATTAGTTTGATATCAAAATTTGTAAGTATTAATTGTATACTAGTTAGAATAAAAAAAAAACCCAGCACAGGGGGTCGCGGCACAGTGGTGGTGACGTGGCATAGTTGGATCAAGTATAATGATATCTGACAGTGATTAAAATCACTATAAAAAAAAAACGCTTCGATGCAAATCTTTAGATAGTGTTTAATTTTAAAAGCTTCATAAACTGCTAGTTCATTATTAATATCCTGATTATGATAAAGTATGTCGAATGAAAAAGGGATTATTAAAAAGTAGTATTTCCCATAAAAAAATTATATTGATCAATACACTTTTCAATAAGTTATAGCATTATAAAGTTAAAAATGAAAAAAATAAAATTGATAATTTTCACACAATAATAGCATTTGGTAGCCATTTTCACCGTGAAGACAAAATAAAATCCGGAATTTTTTTTTTACATAATAAAGTACATTACATTAGCTTTAATTTAATATATATAGAAAAGTGTCAGACTTTCCGGAACACTTTCAAAATTTAAGTTGAAAAAGTCAATTTTTTGTGAAAAAGTTGTCATTTTGAATCCCCCCCTGTAGGCAGGTAAAAAGTCAGATTTATAAAAAAAATATACCAAATGATACGCAAAGACATTATGCATCTATAAAAAAAAGAATTATATTGATTAGTTTGTTTTTAAAAAAGTTACGGCAGTTTTTAGTAAAAAAAATTGAAAAAAATTCGAAAATTAGCCATTTTTAAATTTGTAATTTTTTCGGAGGTTTCCCCCATTTACGGGGAACGAGGGAATTTTTTTCAATTTTTGAGGGTAATGTCTTCGACTAGATACGATTTGTGATCTTTTGACGTATCATTGGAAGAAATCGGTTCGGCGAGAGCTGAGAAAAAGTGGTAACAGACACAAAAAAAAAAAAAATAAATAAAAAAAAACACATCTTAGTAAAACCAATACCTTCTCAGCTTCGCATCGAAGCGAATATGCTAAACTTCGAAAAAATTCGAAAATGTACAAATACTCTAAACTGTATATTAGACTTTTGTTATTGAAGTCAGAAAAGTTATTAAAAAAGGACCAATTCACTGTTATATAAGATAGAAGTATTCGATACTTACCGAAAACTTGAAAATTTATTCATAATTTTTATTTATAGAAAAAATAATTTTGGTTTACAATTGTTTATTCAACTACTAAATGACAGCATAACTATGAAATAATAATAAATAATAAACATTGAAAATTAACACCTAGAGTTATCGTTATAAATAATAAAACTCAGTACGTTTTAATAATAATTTATAACATTGTTTTGTTAGCAAAATAATAAATAAACATCTAGTCACTGAATCGTTAGCTTTTTGTAATCTTTTTGCACTTTTCAGAAAACAAAACTATATTCCAACAATACTGCCATTAGGATTTGAAAATGTTAAATTTCTTTATTCGTTGTAGAAATTTGTTAGTTAACTTTTTGAATTTCATTTAAAAATTATAAATTGGAGATGATTAAACTTAAAAAAAAATCTAATTACATAAGATTTTTCCTTTCTTCATAACAAATGAACTTTTATTTAGCTATTAACGCTTGTGACACACTTTTTTCTACATAAAAGGTTTGTCTGGGACTTGAATTTTACTGTTTTTATTTTGAGGCAATAAAGTTCAGTCATTTATTAAAGTACATTGGCATAACTTTCAGTGTTTATGATTTTTAGTTTTATCATATAGAATATAATATATGGAGTGTGATTATTTTAATACTTGAACTCAAATTCTCTCAAAATTGTTATTTAATTGCGAGTTTTTTTTTCTTTTGTTAGATACATTTATTTGTTATAAAATATGTTTTAGGTCCATCCATTGTGTCTTATAAGGTGTGTAAACTTAATTTTATTAAATACCAGTATATTATACATATTAAACTGACTAGAAAATGATGTAATTAAAAATATGACTGGTTAATAACAACATTTGGACGATTATTTATTAACAATTTAAAGTTATGACTGGAGATGAGGAGTGGGTGATAATATTTTTATCACTATACACTTATCAGCCTCATTCCTCTTTCTATCAAAATATAAAAATTTGAATAACTTCTAAAATATTGGTCCAAAAGTTGTTATCATTTTCTTTATTACATTATTCTTTATTTTAAAATTTTTATTTTATAGATAACTCAGTCTTCTATTTTTTCAAAATTAAATATTGATTTTCGATGATTTCATAATTATTTCATGGAAATTTGAAACATCCTAATTATATTTTAACGATTTAATAACTCATAGTCGAATAATTAAATTTTAAAACTCCTTGAACTATTTAAAGAGAATAATTCTTTCACTTTTCATTGCAATAAAAAATCACTAATAACGAACGAATGAAATAGATGTAAAATGTACGGTTGAATTAAAATTACAAGGTGTAAACACTTTAAGTAAATCATTATTATGTTTATTCAGTGTCCTTTTTATACTTGGTATACACCTTAATGGTTAACCGTAAATTATTTACTTATCATTTAAGAGATGTTATTTACATTATGTTATCGAGGCAAATAAACCTACACAGAGTATTTTCGGGCAAATTATAAACCAATGTTGAGTTATAACTCACCAAAAGTTGTTATTCAATACATTTTAACGAAACTTGTCTAAAAAGCTAGAACTGAATAATAATAATTACTACAATTAAAAATAAAACATTAATGCCAAAAGGCAAAAAATTCACTTATAGTAGCAAATCGAGTAACTTCATTTCATGAAACGAACATTAAAAACAATTATTAGGATCCATAAAATTTGCTGACTTAATGAAAATTAAGCCGTTCAGAGTTCACTAATACGTCAGCTGTGCTTTACTGGTAGAAAATGTCTTTTAATATTTTCTAAATGATAATCGTCTTGATTATAATAGAACCAATGACTCGTCTACTTACACAACAGTCATGTGTACTTTTTCGAGACGATAGTGATAATAACGATAATTTTAGCACAAACGATTTGCCTAAATCGAATTTTCCGATTAATTTGTATTACCAGTAACCTCATCAGCACTGACACTTCCGTTGTTTACACAAATTGCATCATAATTCTATTAAATCACATTTATTATCGCCGTAAGTCACCAAACATTAACTTCAAATCGAATTTTTAAGTAACTACTCAAGTTGTCACTTTCCATGTTACTAAAAGTGACATGGAATATGAAATTTAACCGAAATGAAAAATCTTGTATCCTTGATAAACATTAACATAGTCTAAAAATCTTTCCATTCTAATTTAGATCAATAATAATAAAAATTTCATTGTATAAAGGCATATTGTATACTTGAGATCAAAACAATAGAAAGTAGTTTAAACATAAACAACTACTGAACAATATAATAATGTTTTACTTATAAGAAAATTATTATCTTATCTAGTTACACTGATGGATTTTAGCAATTGTTTTGTAACGTAAAAATTAACCATTTGCGTGTAACTAAGCAAAGTGTTCATGTTACTCTATTTGTTGTTAATGGAAATCAGTTCACCGAGAAACTAACTCACAGGATGGAGAAAAGAAGGTAAATAATTTCCGCCGGCAATCAGAAAGTATCCATTTCATATTCATGTCATTCATTTTTACTTATTACAATAAAAGCGTTGAGAACTATCTAGTTCAATTTATGGGACATTAAAAATCAATTTTTTTTAGTAGAATAACTTTTACTGAATTAAAATTTTTACTTTAAAATTAAATAAATGAAGATCTGAATAAAACACAAATTTAATTTTTGACAAAAACTTGATTGCAATTTCAATTTGGTTAATAATATTTGCTAGGCCACAATTGATAATATAATAACAATAAATTCAATACCATTTTTTCTATTACATTTAGTTTTTGCGATAATTACTAATTAGTAACCAAGCATAAATTACAACATTATGTAATATCATCGTAAAAAAAATAAACAATTTTTTTTTAATTTTATTAAAATAATTATTAGATGATTAATAGAGTTGAGTTTGAGTGTCATAAAAAAAAACTTAACTTTCGACTAACTTTTTAACTTTGATGCGAAGATGAGAAAGTTATAATTTTACTATGATGTGTATTTTCTTTTTTTTTTATGACTGTAACAACTTTTTTTCAGCTCTCACTGAACCGATTTTTTTCAACGATACGTCAAAATATCACAAATCGTATCTAGTCGAAGACATTACCCTCAAAAATTGAAAACAATTCCCTCGTTCCTCGTAAATAGGACATATCTCCAAAATAATTACAAAATTAAAAATCGTTAATTTTCGACATTTTTTCAATATTTTTACTTAAATCTGCCATAGCATTTTTAAAAATGACCAAGTCAATATAATTTTTTTTAAATAGATACGTGAGGTACTTACCTATCATTTTTTATATTATTTTTATAAATCTGACCCTTTACTTGTCCNAAATCGCTAATTTTCGAAATTTTTTCACTTTTTTTTCTTAAAACTTCCATAACTTTTTGAAAAATCAACAAATCAACATAATTTTTTTTTATACTAAAACCTTAGATATTTACCTTTCATTTGATATCATTTTTTTGAAAATCTATCACTTAACCTGCTCATTGGGGGGGATTTAAAATGGCAACTTTTTTACAAAAATTAATTTTTTCAACTTAATTTTTGAAAATGTTCCGGAAAGACTGCGTCCTTTAAACATATATCAAATTAAAGCTTATTTTATGTACTACAAAATGAAAAAAAAAATTTGTGCCGACACTTTTTTTTCTACATTTAAACGGCTGCCATGGTTAAAAAAACACTATTTTTGTGTTAAAATTTTCGATTTTCGATTTTTAATTTTCAACTTAAAAATGCTATAACTTTTTGAAAAATGTATATATCAGCACAAATTTTTTTTTTCTAAATACATTATAAGTACATCTTTCATTTGACATACTTTTTATTAAAATTGGACAATTTCCCCTTATATAGGGGGCGTTCAAAACTTAAAATATTGTAAAAAACATAGATCTTTTTCAACTGAACTTTTGAAAATGTTCCGGAAATACTGCGTCCTTTAAACATATATCAAATCAAAGGTTATGTTATATACTATCAAATGAAAAAAAAAAATTTGTCCCGACATCTTATCTTCTATGTGCAAATGGCTGTCGAAAATTTAAAAAAAAATGTAATGTTTGCGATAAAAATTACATTTTATCGGGATGTTTTTTGTACTTAAAACTGCCATAACTTTTTCAAAAATGAACAAATAAAAATAATATTTTTTTGTATTGAAACCTTAGATATTTCCCTTTCATTTGATATAATTTTTTTTGAAAATCTAACACTTATTCTGCTCACTGGGAGGATTTAAAATAGTAACTTTTTTACAAAAAATAACTTTTTCAACTTAATTTTTGAAAATGTTCCGGAAATACTGCGTCCTTTAAACATATATAAAATTAAAGCTTATTTTATGTACTACAAAATGAAAAAAAAAAATTTGTCCCGACGATCTATCTTCTATACGCAAATGGCTACCATATTGAAAAATATACTATTTTTGTATGATAATTATGGGTTTTGTATTTTATTTTAATAGAAGTTGATGTTGCTTTTGCAATTATCCATCAATTTTTTAAAATTAAACACTATCTACAGATTTGCATCGAAGCGTTTCTTATGATAGTGATTTTAATCACTGTCAGATTAAATCTATACTGGACCCTACTATGCAATGTCTCTTCTTTTTTTTATGACTGTAACCACTTTTTTTCAGCTCTCACTGAACCGATTTTTTTCAACGATACGTCAAAATATCACAAATCGTATCTAGTCGAAGACATTACCCTCAAAAATTGAAAACAATTCCCTCGTTCCTCGTAAATAGGACATATCTCCAAAATAATTACAAAATTAAAAATCGTTAATTTTCGACATTTTTTCAATATTTTTACTTAAATCTGCCATAGCATTTTTAAAAATGACCAAGTCAATATAATTTTTTTAAAATAGATACGTGAGGTACTTACCTATCATTTTTTATATTATTTTTATAAATCTGACCCTTTACTTGTCCACAGGAGGATTCAAAATGACAAATTAACTTTTGAAAGTGTTCCGGAAATACTGACACTTTTATATATATCTTAAATTAAGCTTATGTAATATACTTTATTATGGGAAAAAAAAAAATGTCGAATTCTATTTTGTTTTTATGGTGAATACTATTAACATTAAAGACACCATGCATCTATAAAAAAAAAATTATAAATATTTGGTCATTTTTGAAAATATTATGGCAGTTTTAAGTAAAAATAATTGAAAAAATGTCGATAATTAACGACTTTTAAATTTATAATTTTTTTGGAGATATGCTCCAATTTATTATTTAAAGGAAACAAGGAAAATTTTTTCAATTTTCGAGGGCAATTTCTTCGACTAGATACAATTTGTGATATTTTGACGTATCGTTGAAAAAAATCGGTTCAGTGAGAGCTGAAAAAAAGTGGTTACAGTCAAAAAAAAAATACAAATTTCATCAAAGTAAAATTAATACCTTTTCAGATTTGCGTCGAAGCTAAAATCGGAAACCAGACTCGGAATTCAACGTCAAAATTCCATATGTAAGTTATATATAAAATATAAAATGGCTATCATCCAATGTTATTAAAGAAAATTGTTTTAAGTTGTCCCAGATTTTTAAAAATAATAATTTTTGTTTATTCTCAAATTTTTTGGTCAAATTCAATGAGGAGGAGGTGGCGAAATAATACTTTTGCCCATTGTATTTGAAGTGCAGGGGACTACTGCCCCTCTGGCCTATTAGTTTCGGCGTCACTGGTCTGTGTACTTTGACTGTTATAATCAAAGGAGTATAAGTGAAACTAATTTGACTTTTATCGATGAAAAATAACATTCCCGGCGTCTATAAACTTTCATCATCGAATAGCTATCATGAATTTGTCAATCTTTAATGCTTCTGGTACTGACTGTCGGATATTTTATGAATAGCTTTTTTCCGCAAAATTCATAAGATAATATCACTATAAACATCATATATATAAATAAACTAGGAAATTTCGAATGGAGTCTATTATTTTTACCGTATAATTTCATTTTTCTTATTTTAAGGAAAATGATGTTTCATAAAAAATGGATTGGATCTCAACTGAGTTTTTCGAAACCATTGAAAAATTTTTCTAATTGCCTTTTTGAAATCTCAACATTTTCTGCACTTCAGCTAATTGCATCCTCAATTTTTATACGCTGAAAATACGTTAAATAAAATTTAACTAGTCTTATCAACTATTACACGCTAAATAATAATAAAAAAAGACCTTTAATTTTTTATCTTAAACATAATTTTAATAACAATAATGCCCACACGAATTAATTTCCATATGACTACATAGTCCATCTGTACAATATTATTGTCAAATTACAACACACCTAGTGATTTCCTATCGTATGGTGGCTAGAAATATTTAATTTAAGAACCTTCGAGTTCTGAAGTACAAGAGAAAAATAAGCATAAGAAGAAGTTACTCGAGTGCATTTTTATTTTATTACTCAAACGAGGCCAACAAACAGAACGCAGCATGTTTACGCCAATAATTAAGTTGAATAAAAACAAGAGTCTTGATTTCATCAAACAATTGACAATTTCATAGTACACATGAGTATATGTCGCAATAATATAATATTATTAGAATAATGAACCAGATAACGTAGCAACTATAAAATTTAGGACCGTGATTTTTGTTTTTATAATAAACCCAGTGATATTAAACACTACTATATAAAAATATATTCTTTACTCTATACAAAATAACACAACAATTATTTAATGAACTTGTTGAAAAACAAGTGTTTTAATTAATATTGTGATAAATTAGAACCTTGAAACAATAATGCGTCCATATATTGAAAATATTCATCATCAACAACCAAGAAGGTAATATTGATTACAATGACTTACTTTAAACGCGATATATAATAGACGTAAAATAGTTAATAAACTTTAGGTTAATCCTTTTTTCAATTTTTTAAATAAATGCCATTCAATGGATCAAAATTTTGTTGAAAATTACAATAGCTGTATTTTATCAAATAACAATTGTTATAGTTATGATAAGTTAAACAAATTGTTTATTGATATTAGTATCAGTAATTTATTGTTAATTTTAATGAGTGATTCAATACATTATTGACTTAAAAAAATAGTCTAAAAGGGAATAGTTTTACTGTTATATTAATAATTATAAGTTTATTCGAACAGAAGTTTTGTAAATTGTCTCTGTTAATTTTACTAATAGTAATTAAATTTATCATATGGGTTCTATAGTATGTTAATAATAAAGAATTGTTATATATAATATATAAATACAGGTGTCTCAGGCCTAACTGACAATTCACATATTTTTTTTATGGTAAATTATCAGCAAGTCTAAGACACCTGTATATTTAGATATATAAACTTATGGTTATAGATATCCATAACTATACAAACTATAAAAATTGTTATTTATTAATAATCTAATAAATTTTAACAAAATAATAATTTAAAAAATGAAAACATTTTATATAAATAAAGAAATCATTTACACGTAAAGGTTTCTTATGTAACAATAGAAAAAAATAAATAAACGGAAAAAACTTTTTGGGTTTCACAGAAATATGTTTCAGTTATTGTTTCTGTTATATTGCAGTTTAATACAAACTAGTAAAGGCAAATACGATATTTTTTATTCCTAAAACATTACAAAATCTTTATCAAAAGAGCCTACATCTATAGTATAATTTCATGAACTTTTGTTAAACATACAGTTTTGTGTCCTTTAAGAAACTCAAAACTTAAAATTATCAATTGTGTAGTTTCAATTTTTATTATTCTTGTCTAAGACGACACCTTAAGTAAATACTTTGACGTTTCGTGTTTGTGAAACTTAGAAAAGATGTGACATTTTTGCAAAATATAAAATTTTTATGAAGTATTTGAAGTAAAATTTTGTTTCGCATTATTTCATTTAATTAGTTCCATTAAATCTTTAAATCCAAAAATCACAATTTGGATATAATTATTACACTTACAACAGATCAACGGCTTATTCACAAAAAAATTTTTATGAGAACCGTTAAAATAACTTTTTGTTATAATATTTTTAAAGTGATCCAAAGATGTTTTATTTCTATAATACATTTTATATTATATAATATACTGTATTCATATATTTATATATATAACATATTGGTTTACACAATTGTGCATTTAACTCATTTCCACCAAACAACATATTTAAAATAACGTTTTAAAGAAAACTGAGTTATAAAAGAAATCTTATCTATGCATAGATTTATTTTGATGAAGATTATATTTTTGATATTATATTATAATTTTTTTAAACAATAAATTAAATCATTTATTTTGAAGGTTTAAAGCAGATAGATATCAACTTAAATTCAACAAAAATATTACTAATGACTAATTGTAAATTACATTAACATAAATTATGAAAATTGTGATTTTTTCACGAGACTTACTATTAATGAGGCAATTATTCTTTGGTGGCCCATCTATTTCTTACTGTTGATATAATCCATGAAAAAAAGAGATAGTCTAAATGGCAAAGAGCCCGTTTTCAGCAAAGGAGCACAATTGATAGGTTAAATCATATCTGAGCTATCATAATAGATGGTCAAGTAATAAGGTTATTCGGCAATAAGGTTTTTGTTTTCGTAGCCACACAATGCTTTGTCGACCTTGTGATTCCGGTCGTAACACGTTTTTCATTGAGGGAAAGCCATGTTGTCAGATCGTGTTTGAAAGACATGACGGTAATTCTAAACTGTTGCGTAGTACACGACGTTCCAAAAGGCCTGCTACTGTGTAATAAAAAAATAGAAAGGTGTAACGTTACAAAATTTAACTCGCCAACTTACGCCACCATCAAAAACGGTATACACCAACAAAATAACACAAGTTTAATACGAATGAAAAAGGTGGGCGGATAGGTAAGCGCAAATAAATTAAAACTCAAACATCGCCAACTTGCACTTTAACCGTTCAATCACTTCAACGAATTATCAGCTGAACAAAACATCTTGGATAAAAACTAAACTATTTGAAATCGTCAGTTCACCTCAAAAGGTTTGCAACTAAAAACAATCCACTGCCAATTTCTTTTAAACCTCAAAAAGGAATGTCGAATGTCGTTTTTTTTTTCAACACGGCTAGATCCAAATATGAGAGATAAGTCCTCAAAGCTCATTTAAAAAATCATTGCATGCGCTTGAGTTAAAAATAACAAGATGTTTATTTAGTGATTATCAGCCGATAATGACAATTATAAATAATAAGTAATAATGCTGGCGAAATAACACGAAATAAATATACTGCACAGATTAAGCATTTGGGGTTCATCACGAACAATATTCGCAAGTAACATATAATTTACCTGATGAAAGTTTACCGACACCATTTTAAGAAATGTAATAATTTAAATAGATTTTACACAATAAATCAACTAAAATGTTATACATCCTCTACGATTAATAATCTGCCATAAAACTAAAATGCATATTTATGTTATTTATCCTCAATATGTATACACTATTTATTTACCCACATTTATTTCATGCATACTATAAGTATATAGAATATAAATACATGATGAATATCATTTATATACATTATATAATTATTTGATATTACATATAATTTATAGTTTTTCTTTATTAATAAATAAAACATAAAAATCATTGGGATAATTAAACGCGTTTAATCAAAATAATAGATACTCAATGATGAACTGACCTACAGCCATTGTAATAGATAATCTAACATGTTTCACGAGCAGAACCATTCGTAATTTGAATTTTGCAATTAAGGTTACAGAAGTATAACTCTAACGTGTAATTTTTTTACAGTTAAGACGGGTTAACCAATATATTTAACCACAAAATTCTCCCTCCGGAAAGTAATATTCATCGAACTAGATATCCAATTCTTTCATTAGCACTCGAAGAAAATAACATTTCTGAACATTAATGATTCAAATCAAAACATAGTGATTTTTTCTTTGGAACATGAAAAAAAATTAATTAACAAAATATTTATCGATTATTTAAAACAGCATTAATAAAACACAATTTGATTTATGTAAGATACATACATTTCACTTTAGCCAGTGAGTTATATACAAAAAACTAGTGAGTTATCCATACAACTGAAAATCGTTGTAAATCATTGATTACACCACAAACGAATACAATTTAAACAGTCGATGAGAAAAAAAAAATTGGCTTACGAAAGACGTCCATCACGATGTTTTATAATCTTAAGTTACGCAGTAAATATTAGTGAAACAAATTATTTAAAATTTGGTAATAAATAATTTGACCAACTCCCTCGTTTTATGTTATACTTTAAATAGTTTTATTTATCCTTCGACTGTCATTCCCTGAAATACTTTACACTCGAGACATCATTGCTAATGTAATATTTATCTTATTAACTGTTCAATATTATTTACAAAATAGTATATATTAAATTAAATATGTAATTGAATTAATAATTAATGTGGTAAAAATACATCCAAATTCATTTTTTTGCATTTTAGTGCTATCTAAGAATTAGTGAACTGCAATCTTTAGAAGGAATTATTGGAATTCCTCATGTCACTAACTCTCATTTAAAATTATACTTTTTTACTAGGATACAAATGTCGATATTTACAAATGCTCGATGATGAAAACACTTGAAACACTTCTGATAGTGATCACAAAACAAATAAAAAAACCCAATTATTAAGCAATCATTATACAGTAATACAGTAAAAACGTAATGCTATCAAACATGTGTAGCCGAGTATTTTCAAAGAACAAGACGACCGTAACAGCTAATTCCAAATTAATCATAAATTTGAATTACAGACCTGCTGCAATGTTGAGCAAATTTTGTATTAAAAGCACAATTGAATCATTAGATTGACCGATGAAAAAAATATTCATCAAAACAACATATGCACGACAAATTGAAAAAGTTAAAGAGAAATTGAAGAAAGGTAGATTTTTTGTAATTAAAAGTTAAGTAGAATTTTACATATTAACTCCAAAAATACAATAAAATATATTAACGTAGACGTTCTTGAAAAATTGACAAACTGAAATTAAAGATGCCCCTGGATTTTCAGCACTCTCTGGGCAGGTATTAAATTAGCTCGACGCTGGACAGAAACTTTATTATTGTTGTTGCATAGAGAAGAATGCGAATATCATACAGACTAAAATAATCCTTTAATCTTATATAAGTATTACTTGTAATATAATTAAAATAACCTTAAATTTTAAAATGATTATATCTAAATTAATTAAGATCATTTTGTATTTAAAATAAATATAAGAAATATGTGTAAAATTAACAAAGATCAACAGTCAAGGATAATTTAACTATTTATAACTAAAGCATTGTTATGGTAGTCAACTAACTTAAAAAATCAACAGAATAATTATTTAAACCATCATTATTTAAATACTCCAACAAATATGTTGTTATTAAGGCAATTAAACCGTTAATCAATTTATTTCATATAAATGCATATCATCATGTACACTAAAAAAAATTGTTATTTAGTTGATCCAGACTTTTACTCATTACATTTTTATTTTGAAATTAATTAATTAATCACATCAAATACCCCGAATTCAGTTCGTTTCAAACATCACTATTAAATATAAATGGTTATTTATAAATAAATAATTTTTACAGGAGTAATAACATCGTTGAGTTAATTAAACTGAATGTAGATAACTTTGTCAATTACTAACTAACTTACATCAACCCTTTTTCTGTAATAAACTATATACACCAAGACTGATAATTAAGTAAATTTAACGTATAAACAAATGGTAAGGGATTTTTTTTAAGGACTGGCATAAATACAGAGAGAAGCTTTTATTATTTCCACGTAAATTGGATACTTTTTATTCATAAAGAAATTTCAATGCAAAAGGCCTTATTATCTCTTAAGAGAATACGTTTATTTATTGTAACTATAATTATTATTTGTATTATTCGAAGAGTTTTGTTTAGATAATAAATAATACGAATAAATTTGTTTACACTTATAGAAAATTCGTTCAAGTTATAAGAAAAATAATTTAAGCATAAATTAATAAACTTTTAAAAATCAAAGTTCTGCCAGTGGTTACTGTAACAATAATAACTAGAATAACTAGTTATTTTTAGTATTATTGAGAAGCCAAACAAAAACAGCCGACAAATAAAACTGATCAAATCGACTGAAAACGATTCTGCTGACTTTTGATAAAAAAAAAAAGTGATTAGGTGTTAATAGTTATATTAATACATAATAGCGGTAGTTTTTTTGTTGTTACAATACATTTGAATACAACTAAGTATTGTTTGAAAAAATAATTTTCAAGTTAGCATGATTTATTTGTTATCAAACCTCGCTATTTTTTATCAAACAAATGACATTGTACAAGAACTAATAGAAGTTTATGATTACTATGGTTTTTAATTGATACCCGTGTGTACATTATAACATCAGCATTTGACTGGCTCTCATTTTCTATAGTATACGATAGTAGGAAGATTGTTAATAGCTTACAGCTTGTATAAATTAATATTTCCAATAAGATACTTAATCGCTTTGGATGATGTTGATTTAATATTGATGTATAAAAAGTCAAAAAAAAAATATATAATTTCTACTTTTTTAAAAGTTATTAATGTAATATATTTAATAACTTTAAAAAAGATAAGAGTTTATTAAAACTAATTTTACATATACATTAAAAAAATTAATAGTAATAATATAATAATATTATGAATTATTTTTTAAATGTTTATGTAAAATTATTTGTAATAAATCCCAAGTGTATGAATTATAAATTGATCTACATGCATTATATCATCATTACTGGCAACGTAAATCTTATCTAATAACTAAAACAAAAACAGAACATATATGCACATGCGAGGGCTTTCAAATTAGAACTAAATAAATTTAATTCTAATTTTTTTTTTAATTTCTCACTTTATTTATGATGGCAAACTAACATGGTAATTGAAACAATTTTTAATCTAGTCAAAAATTATATTTTTAGCATTTTGAAAATCATAAGTGCAAATAAGCGTAGCGCGGGGAGACTTTGGATACATAACATGATCAAATCAACTAATTCTATTTTCTCTCATCTTATCTACTATTCACGCTTTACCTATACTCTTTCTTATATGCTCGTTCCTTATTTTATATTTTCTAGTCACTCCAATCATCCATCTATGCATTCTCATCTCTGCTACACTCATTCTCTGCTCTACTTTCTTATCAACCGCCCAACACTCTGAACCATACCTCACCGTGGCCTCACTAGAGTCTTGTAGAATTTATCTTTCAGCCTCATTGGAATTCTTTTATCGCATAAGACGCCAGACGCTTCTCTCCACTTCAACCTCCCGCACTTAATTCTATGTCTTACATACCCATCAATACCACCGCTCTTTTGCACAACTTATCCTAAATACTTAAAACTTTCCACCTCTCTTATCACGTCCTCGCCTCATTGTCCTCCTCCTGAATGTTACTGATCTCCTCATTTCACCTACCTCGTGTTCTCCTTTGTCAAACTTGTACTCTATATACTCTGTCTTACTCCTATTTATTCTTAAACCCTTTTCTTCAAGATCTGATCTCCACACTTCTAGCCTTTGATTAATTTCCTCCCTATTTTCTCCTATTAACATTATATCGTCAGCAAACAACATGCACCACGGCACCTCTCCTTGTATTTCTCTAGTAATTTCATCCATCACTATAGAAAATAAGTAAGGGCTTAAAGCAGTACCTTGGTGCACTCCTACTCTTACCCGAAAATCTTCTGTTACTCCTCCCACTATTTTTACCTTGGTACAAGTGCCATCATACATATCCTCTATTATATTAATGTACCTTTTCGGGACTTCATTTCTCAATAATGCCCACTTTTAAACTTCTCTCGGTACTCTATAATACGCTTTCTCTAAATCTATAAATACCATACACAGCTTCTTCTTCTTTTCCCTAAACTTTTCTGACATTTCATCTGGTCCTACTACTTTATTTTAAGAAGATGATTGATTGAGATCCATTTGGGAAAAGTATATTAATATTGATTGTAATGTATACAATCATTGAAACAAATAGTGAAAAAAATTGTGATTACTAGATGTAATTCCTCATATTTTACAAGACCATAAATGTAATTTTCATAAATTTTGGGGCTACTAACTAACTGAAGCACTCCCTATTTGCACCTATGGTTACAGGTCATTTAAGATAAAATTTGTGAAGTTTTACAAAAAAAAGAACATTAAATA